CTATTTCTAATCCCTTTTCCCCTAACCCCAAGAAAAGAATGGCCTACTTTGAGGAAAGCATGCTGTTGTGGCCGAGCTCATATTATAGGACACTATGGTGGGAGAGCAAAAATGGAGCGCTAGTCCACGGAGGTCAGAAGTCACATGGTTCATGCCTTAAAACTCATAAGTTATCTCATAAAAATGAGATATTTATCCTTTCAAGTTACCTTACATACTGGTTTATAAACCCCTTCAGTCCTCTGACTACTTAAAGGGCTAAAAAGGGCCCCTTATAACACCTTACATTTGTTTGGCTCTTTGCAGTTTCCAAAGCACTTTCATAGACATCATTGCACTGGATCCTTACGACATCATGGCAAGATAACTACATAATATAACAGATGTTATAATCCCCATTTTACAGATGAAAAAACTAAAGTGACTTTTCTGTGGTCACACACCATCTGCTAATTCCTAGCTCACTGCTTTTGATCTTGTTTGTGTTCCATTGGACTGGATAAAGTCGTTTGCCAGAAGGAGACCAGTGCATGCTTGGAACTGGCTTAGAAATGATAGCTTGTTTGCCAGTACCAAACTGGCAACGAACAGTGATAGGCAAAGCAAATGGAGCTCTGTCCTGGGTCTGGGATATAAGTTCCTGACACTTCCTCCCTCACCTTGGTTCATAGGCAGTTTAGCTACTGGCATCAGATACAAAATCCAGACTCTCAATGGTACCATCCTCTTAATTCCCAAACCACTTGTCTCACATGAATGAGGCTTCTTCCTGCATGGCCTTAACTTCTATTGAATCTCCTTAAGAGTGCTTTCCCACTTACCTGTTCAAGCAAAGCATTTCCATTTTCAAAAGGTATTCTTATTTACACAAATCTCACAGCAAAGATTTTTGGATAAACCTTTCAAAAAGTACAGCAGTTGGTATCTGTATTAAAGATAGCTTCCTTAAAGATTCTTCTTCAACGTTTACAGGCCTATTCACCTTGGCATTTTTGCAAATGAATAGTTACAAGAAGGGGAACCATTGTAAGTTGTAAAACCCATTTTCACCATAAAGCACTCTTTGCCTTAGCTTCCAGAAAACCTTAGACAAGGCACAGATTTCTGCTCAAAAGAACGAAACCAAACCAAAAGAATTCCTTTCGGCCACCCAGCTCTGAACATCCAGAGCCAGCACAGGGGAAGATGTCCAGAATAGCTTCAAAAGTCTCAGCTTTTGAATAGCTCAAAAGCCTTATCATCCATCTTCCTAAGATACCTTGGCAGGAAAGGTTGTACCATAGCAACTCAGAGAAAAGAGAATCAAAGGAGTACAGAGCATAGGGAGGGGAAGCTGAGGACTTGGCACACAAACTAAGGAATGCATCCTTTCACCTACTGCAGGCTCTTTCCCTTTATCCCATGGCAACACTGGTCCCCAACTAGGAAGCAAATGACTCTTGCTTCCCTGATGAGACCCAGTCATCTCCAATAGCAAGGCAGGATCTGCCCTTCATATATACTGATGATCTAGGCATCTCAGAGGTAAGGGAGATCACTACCAGACCTCTTCCAACTCTTGTTCCCTTAAGGGAGAAGAGAAAAGACAAATATGAAGAAATAGGGCTGGGGGTGAAGAAAAGTTGGCTTAGCAATAAAGAGCATAGACCAGACTCCATCGAGGAAGGAAAGGCAACTCTTCCTCTGGAAAGACTACCTAACCATGAACAATTCACCCAGGGCATAATGATGGAGAAGGCTGGTGTCCCTCAAAAATGGGATCCCAAGGCCTTCCTGAATCTAAGAGAGGTCCCTCCCTCTGTCCTACCTCTACTGTTATCCCTTTACATGGCTATCCTCATGTTGTCCCCCCAGCTTCCCCACCCAGCCCTTTCCCAAGCCACCAGAATCCTGTTACAGCACGGGAACGATTACCTAGTAATGTCTTGATCCTCACAAGAAAGCATAAGATATGTTTTCTCTTTCCTTGGGAGTTTTGCAGTAAGTTAGTCTGTACTGCAGGCCCAGTAACAGGATGATTGATGCCCCTAGGAAAGGCCCCAAGGCTCAGGAAGCTGCAGTGGTGGGTTTCATGACCATAATTTTGCTTTCCCTCCCTATTTCCTTCCCTGAGTCCCTGTAAGTGGTGAGGATAGAAACAGGAAAGAGAGATGTTCTTATTCTTTGCCTTTAAGGTGAGGAGTTATATTATGGGTTACCCATGCAGTGATTGCTAGGATGCTTATGGGCCTCAGAATGGCTCTGTGGGGATTGTTTCTACAAAAAAAAAAATCTCTGTTCTCTTCTCTCCCCCTGAAAATTAGGGACTGGTAGGTGATTCAGTGAGTACAGAGTTAGCCTCGGAGTCAGGAAGACCTGAGTTCCAATACTGGCTCACTTGCTTGTCAGTCATGTGACCTTGGGAAAGTCACTTACCTTCTCTGCCTGCCTCAGTTTCCTCATCTGTAAAAGGGGTGTAATAATGGCACCTGTCTCACAGGGTTCTTATGAAGGTAAGTGAGTTCAATATAAGGTGCTTTGTGTGAAAGGACCATTATTTACCAGGGTTCCCCACTTCTCCTGCAACATAGGTTAGATTCCTTTTCCCCTGAAAGGTGATCCAAGATGTCCCTGGAAATTGATTGGCTAAGCCGTTGCCTAGCCAAAAAAAAAAAAAAAGAGAAAGAAAGAAGGAAATTGGCCCAGGGATCCATGGCTCAAGCTGGGCCTACCTTAACTGATTGACAGTTAACTGATTAACTTAACTGATTAACAGCTACCTGTTGGCCTCTGGTCACCCAAAGCATTAAAAGACACATCTACATGGAGTTGGGGCCCTTCAAACTTTGCAGATATGCCTGAGTTTATGCCTGAGTTTCCACACCTTACCCTGTTAACCACATGGAGGCAAGAGATTCTCTTCCAGCATCTCCCTAAATGAAGTGCTGCAGTACCTTTGTTAAATGTCTTTTCTCTGCTGTCTTAAATAAACCTTTTGTTAGTTCCTATTGAATGGTCAACAAGCACCTTATTTGTCGCCAAAATAGAACTTGAACTAACAATGACCTGGTCCAAGGTAGGCCTGCCACTACCACTTTGCAAGCCTTAAAGGATAATATAAATGTTGGCTATTATTACTTTTACTATATTCTGCACCAAGCAGTGATTGGCTCTCAGAATTCACACTGCCTTAATCTCCTAAAGAAAATTAGAGATGAAGGAGATATTTCCTAGGGCTTTAGGGGGCCTTTCAAGTGTCATTGCTAACACTTAATTAAAAGAACTCAGCAATTTCATTGCATTATTAGCTTTTAAAATGTAGAATAATCATGAAAATAGATCAGCTCAGAGAATGAACCGCTAGGTGGTGCAGTAGAGCCTGTGAAGGGGAGCTAGGTGGAGCATGGGCCTGGAGTCAGGGAGACCTGAGTTCACATATGACCTCAGATACAAGCTGTGTGATCCTAGGCAAGTCTTTTAACCCTGTTTGCCTCAGTTTCTTCATCTGTAAAATGAGCTGAAGAAGGAAATGGCAAACCACTCTAGTATCTTTGTCAAGAACATCCCAAATAGGGTCATGAAGAGTTGGATACCACTGAAAAATGACTGAACAACATAGGTCAGAAAGGTATTGCAGCCTATTGGAAAGGGAGTCAGTTTCACAGTTAGGAAGATTGTCAAGTCCAGCCCCTGACACATGCTGGCTGTCTGACCTTCAGCATGTTAGTTAACCTCTTGGTTTCCCCAAGCGACTCTCTAAGACTATAAATTATCATGAAAGTGTTGATCTGCTTTCAAAAAGAAAGTTTCCACACTGAAAGTTCCCTTTGTTAATTAAAGCACTGGTCTAGTCCCATCCCATTGGTCAGATAGATGGAGATAATATTTAAAACTAAAGTTTCTGTCATCTCAGTGAAGGAAAAGTACTGTCTCCAATATAGCATAGTGGAAGGAACACTGGAATTGGTGTGTGTGACCATGAATGAGTCACAACCTTTCTGAACCTTAGATTTCTTATCTGTAAAATGTATCTTACCTGCCTCCTATAGTTCCTACTTCCCACTATTGTTGGGAGGATCAAATGAGATAATTTAAGTAAAGAACTTTTAAAATTTTATAGAATGGAAGTTATGCCATTCCACACATTGAGAGTGATGTTGCATCAGCTCCGTAGGGGAAAGGAATCACATGACCTCTTAGATGTTCATCTTAAAGGTTGGTGAAATGTGGGTTCAGAATTTTAAAAACAAACTTTTATAGATGACTAGAGGAAGAAAAATGTATTTTGATGTGAACGAGGGACGATTTAATTTCTTTTCATGAATCCTGACCTTAAATTGCTTCAAGATTTTTGGTCCTGTGGGTACAACAGAAAATCTGTGGCATATACATCCCCTGATGGCAACAGTGGAAATGCACTGTTCCTTCTAAAATGTGTAAGGTATAAGATCCCAGAATCTCCTCTAATGAGGCCATTTGCAGACTCAGTCAGTTATGAGGGGTGGCTGTAAAAGACCCGGAAAATCCTGGCACCCACAATGCATTATAAGCATCACTTGCTTAGTTACAACCATTCTTAGAGCCTGCTGGGCTCCTAAAGCTGGATCCTACAGTCTAGGGTCTTAGAGAACGGCCACACCTGTCCCCACCCTGGAGGAGCTCAAACAGAGACAGAACATATAGAGAAAACATCTTGTAAATATTTATATGTGAATGCTTTGTCCTCCCATCTTGTGCTACATATTGATAGTAATATCTCCCATGTAAAATACAAACAACAGTCTTTAAATGTCTATGTTTCCGACACTTGTCTAGTAAATAGACCTTGCTCCGTTGTGGCTCCTAAGATCTCATTCCTTTTTCCCTTTTCAGGTACAATGTGAAGTGAAATACTTCCCACAAACACAAACTCAGCTTTATGTTGGCCATTACTGTCTAAATCTGGAAGGGGACTGAGTCATACATCGCTGAAAACAGTCCTAGAGACTGGTTAGGTACCAGAGACAGACTGTCCACAGATATTCCATACAAAATATATTTTATAGTCTATAGAGCACCTTTTTTTATGCATACATATGTAACAAGACACCCTGCTAGCCCATTGGGCTGCTACTAAGTAAAAGGTGAATCTTTTTTTTTTAATAAAGCAAAGCTTATTTATTAGTAGCATAAAATAAAATCACCAGTGGCATTGTGTTTGCATGCATGCAAGTATTCATGATTTTCTAGCATACATACCTACCCCAACTTTTTTTTTTCCAAATAAAGAGCCCTTTGTTCAGACCACATCTTAGTAACTTTCACAAATGTTAAATGAAATGGGTCTGAATACAGGCAGCAAACAATTCTATTTTAGTTTTAAGACCAAAATTTTCTTCTACACTAAAAATGAATCTTTTTTCAATTTCCAAACACAATTCTCAAATTCTTGCTAAAACCAGCAGCTACATGGTACACAATGGATCTTAAAAAGCTTGTTGAAGCTTATTTATGCCATCACAAGTTCATGCTACTTACTAAGGAGAAAGGTCTTCCCACTAGCTCACAGTTGAATAATTAGAAGAAAAAGTAGAAATTGGTGACAGTTGAGTGTTTGTGCCATCTGCTGCTTTTCTGAGTTATTGGCACTAGCTTGACAGAGCCCTGGAGAAGGCAGGGAATAACAGTTTTAAATCTTACAGAAGCCTAGGGTTATCCTCTAATTTGCCTTTCTGTGTCATGGGGGTGTTTCTGATCCTGGGGTCTCAAACACCATTCAGTGGGTTTGTCACATGACTTAAGAAATAGAAGGCTCTTGATTTTTTCTCATAGACGGCAAACAGGAATGGACTGTCCAGTTTCACTTCCAGGGGAGCGACTTCACTGCTTTGGAAAAGATCTTCTTGTCCTCCCTGACTCTCTTTCAGTTCAAAAAGTACTGTATTCATCACCTATAAGACAGCAACACACACACATTTCATTTTACTCAAGAGATAAAGATTCACCACTTCAGGTTGTGTTCCCAGGGGTAGAACCCATCCCAACTAACAGAAGAATTGGGAAGTAGAGGGACATGTAAACACTTATCTAATTAACCACCATTCTGCGTCATGTGTTGCCTACCCCATTAGAATGTAAGCTCCCTGAGGGCAGGAACTGTCTTATTTTTGTATTTGTATCCCTAGCATCTAGTACAGTGTCAGCTATGTAGGTGCTTAATAAATGCTTTGTCATTCATCCAGTGTTTCAGGCATTATGTACCTTGTGCATAGAAGGCACGTTTTCTCAGAGGCATGTTTTCTTTATACTTCCAGTACAGTGCTGCCCATAGAATGTGTTTACGTGGATTATTTGTTGGGGGAGAAGGAGGTGTACATGCATGTGCATGAATCTTTCTGAAAGTGGATATAATAGTGTTCCTTTTGTGTATGGGTTGAGCTAAATGCTGAATTCCCTTCTACCTCTTAGATTCTGTGTTGATGTGGATGTCTATGCACATAAAGAGTAATGGAAAGTAGAATAGTTCGACCCTGACTACTATTTCCGTGCCTGCCATGCTCCAGGCAGGAGCTGATCCCTTTCTTCCCTCTCCTGACATACACCTCCCCTTACCTTCCCATCTCTTCTCTTCCCTTCCCTTTCTTTCCCTTGGCCCCTCTGCATCCTTCTGTTTCCATACGCCATTCCATACATACTATATATCTCCATGAACTCATTTGCAGGTAACTAAGGGCAGTATGGGCAAGGAGGGTGGCCTGAACAGACTTTAAAATGTCATACCTTTCCAACTTTGAGGTTTGTATCACTAATTTTGCTCAGCTTTGCCTCATCTCCAAGCAATCCAGGCAGCTTGGTGTTGCTAAGCAGGCTCTGCATGTCATACGTGCTCTCTTGTACCAGCTTTGGCAAGGTCAAGTGGATCTTCCTAGAAGGAGATGAAAAAGATAGGGAAATTGTAAAGTCTTGCTTCCAAGATCAATCTAACACTCAAGACATGAAGAAGAACCTCAGAGAGCCCAAGGACACTGAAGCTAATGGTTAGTGAGCCCCGTGGACCTACAGAACACTCCACTTAGGACAGTTGAAGTTTTCTGTGCTCTGAGAAGCAGAATATATTCACGTATAATCTAAATTAACCTTCCATGTTCTTAAGAGGCAAATGAAATCAATCATGTTTTACTAGTTGCCCATTTACCATATCCTCGTGTCCCATAGCATCGCAAGGCTGAGCTGAGAGACATGGGAGAGGGGAAAGAAGGAGGTATAAAGAACGCCACCTTCTCTCCTCAAAATAGGAGGGATACAAAGCAGAAAGCACTGTCAATGATAGAAGATTTGGAAGAATAAACCTATATGAATAAAGAGCTGGGATACTATTTCTTCCTATTCCTCTCCACCTCCATCTGTGGGGTGAAGTGGCTATGCCTTCCTCCAAGGAATTCAGTAATTGGTCCAGTGCAACAACATCCTCTTTGTCCTAACAAACCCCCCGCCTAGGGTTGTTGGTGCTGCCTCCCACCCACATGTGATAGATGGAGAGCCTGAGGTTCAGAGTAAGTCATATAAGATATTACCAGAGCCCCACCCCAAGTCTTACCGGGGGGACAGATTTTTCATCCAATGTGAAAAGTCCTGGCCAAAAGCAATATTCTCAATTTTCTCCAGGTTATCATTGTGAGGCTTAATCAGTAGGAGGAAGGCATTCTCATTAAATGGCACTTGAGTCACAGAGAAATTGTTTTTGGTGTCATTCCAGTATAGGAAGATACCCATCCCTGAAAGCATTGGCACGGATGTCCTGGTGGTGTTGTTTACCCAGAACACCTGGGGCTTTGCCAGCTGAGAGATTCCCTTTATTGCTCCTGAAAATCCAAAGAGGAAATGAGAAGAAAGAGTCAACAGCAGGCCCAGGTAGCTCTTGGAAAGGACATAGCAAAAAGAAATCTAAACACTGACAATTCTACTTCCATGAAAGAAGAGTAGACAATGGAAGGAAACTGGGAAAAGGGAGGAAAAAAGAGAAGATGGGGAAAGAGCAGAGGAGAATTAAGGGAAGAGGGGATGAGAGCAAGGAGAGGAGGGAAGAAGAGAGATGAAAATACAAAATTAAGACAACACTGTCCTCAAGAAGCTTACTTTTTTTTTTTTTTTTAGGCAATGGGGGTTAAATGACTTCCAGGATCACAGAGCTAGTAAGTGTCAAGTGCTTGGTCTGAGGCTGGATTTGAACTCAGGTCCTCCTGACTTCAGGGCTGGTGTTCTATCCACTGCACCACCTAGCTGCCCCTAAGAAGCTTACTTCTAATAGAGGGAGACAACTCACATGGGGATGTGGTGGCCAGGGACGAATGGAGACCATCAAAAACACCAAACCATCTCTCCTAATATCACACACTCACCTTTCCCTCTTCTGAACTGCTGGTCTTTCCCTGCCCTTCTTAACCCTTGTTCTAAGGCACACTTACCTTTTGAGACCAAGTTCTATTTTCAACTCAAGACACTCGGATTACAAGTTTGAAAAGTCTCTTCACCACCAAAGAGTAAGAGATCTAGCTTGTGGCAAAGTCTGTCTATAATAATATCCTCTAGTCCTGATTCAGGAAGGGTGGGAGTCTTCCTTCATTACTCTTTTTTTTTTAAATTTACTTATTTTATTCTGAACTTGTTTCCATAACATAGCAGAACAGGAAAAAAGATGATTATACATGAAGCTGCAAATCTATTATGTACAACTTGCTATTCCTTTTAAATGTGTAATAAATTTATCAATTTTCTTTTTTTTCCCTTTTTTTCCCTCCCCTCCCCACCCTGGAGATGGCTACCATTAGACACAAACGTGTGTGTGCGTGCATGTATGTGTATGTAAAATCATTCTATACATACTTCTATTTGTTAGTTGTTTCTCTGGATACAGATAGCATCTTCTTTCATATGTCCTGTGTAGTTTATTTGGGTATTTATAATAGTCAAAATCACTTAGTCACTCAAAGTTATTCTTAAAGCAGTATTGTTATTACTGTATACAGTGTTCTCTTGGTTCTGCTTACTTTGCTCTTCACTGTTTTGTGCAAGTCTATCCTTGTTTTTCTAAGATCATTGAACTCATCATTTCTTATAACAGAGTAGTATTCCATCACAATCACATACCATGACTTGTTCAACCATTCCCCAATTGACAAGCATCTCTACAATTTCCAGTTCTTTGCCACCACAAAGAGAGCTGCTATAAATATTTTAGAACATATAGATTCTTTTCCTTTTTCCCTAATCATCTTAGGAAACAGACCTAGTAGTGGTATTGCTGGATCAAAGGGACTAGGCAGTTTAATTACTCTTTGGGTATAATTCCAGATTGCTCTCCAAAATGGTTGGATTGGTTCACAGTTCCACCAACAGGAAATTAGTATCCCAATTTTTCCACATTACCTCCAACATTTGTCACTTTCCCCTTCAATCATTTTAACCAATCTGATATGTCTAAAATGATATCTTAAGGTTGTTTTATTTGCATTTCTCTACTCAATAATGATTTAGAGAATTTTTTCATATGACTATAAATTGTTTTGACTTCAATGGAAAAATGCCTTCGTTGCTCTTTGAAGATCAGGAAGCCTCACCCTGGTCCTTCCTTAGATAGTCAAAGGGAGAAAGGGTTTAGGAAACATGAACTTGTGTAGGAAGGGGAAAAGGGGATTCCAGAACCTCTTTCTCTATTTTTTTCTCCTTTTCTTCAAGCTTTAGCTAATCAACATTTAGATTATGAGCCTCTGCTTCCAGATCCCTTTGATTGGTAGACGAAGGGAAGAACCCCTCTCCAAACCTCCATTGAAGGAGAGCACCCAAGTCAGCTCTCTCTTCATTTCCCACCTGGCTGCCCTTCTCCATCATGCCCCAGAAACAGTTATCTTCTTCCCTTTCCACCTTTTCAACTTCATTTTATGGGGTCTTCCACCATAAGATTGTAATCCTGAGAGCAGGAACTATCTTTCTTTTTCCTTTGTATCCCCAACCTCCTGCCACTGTGCAGGTACTTAATAAATGTTTATTGATTGACCAGCTGAACCTTAAAGAAGTAGGCAAGGTGGTGGAAGAGGTCTTTACATAGGTTAATTGCTGGGAGGAGCAGTGACCATGTTATCTTTCCAGGCCTACCTCAAGACCTGCCTCTTCTAGGAAGTCTTCCCTGATCTCTAATCTCCTATGTTTACCCCTGGCAGTTAATCAGAGAGAGAAGTTCCATGATAATTTCTAAGAAAGGAAGGTAGGCCTGAGAAATAGTCAACCCAGATTTGGGGATGAGGGAGCTGAGGTATATGAAAAGATCTGGTTTTAAAAGAGGCAGCATTATATGATGGAAAGATTGCTAAACTGAGTTTTGAGACCTGAGCTGAGACCCTCTCTCTGTCCTTGACTAACATGGTGTGTGACCTTGGGCAAATCACTTAATTTCTTTAGGCCTGAGTTTCCTCAGGTTTGGACTAGGTGGTCTCTGAGGTCTTTAACAGCTCTACATCAATTATCTTGCTATAGTATAGTTTGGAGGAAAAGAGGACTAGGACCAGGGTTCAAATCCTGCCTCTGATGTTTAATACCTACATGTCAGTTTCCAACATTGTAAAATGTTGGATTCGACTAGATAGCCTTGGAGGTCCCTTCTAGCTCTTCTCTAAGATCTCAAGTCTGGCCTAACCTGTTAATGGAGGCCACAGTCTTCAAAATGAAAATCCTTCAGACAAAGGAGAAAGGAGGAAGAGAAATCACTTCTGAGAGGGAGCTATGATGGCTGATGTGGATTGAAGCTGATTCACAGAATCATAAGGTGTAGAGCTGAAAGAACCCTTGTAGATCATGTAAGCCACCCTCCTCCCCTTCATCTTATGAGTGAGGAAACTGAGGTCTTGAAACATTGTGACTTGCCCAAGGTGAGAATGTAAATATACATTTAAGTGTATGCAACATGAATATGAAATACAAGTTACATTTTGGGAATGGAAGCCACCAGTAGCTGGGGGAATCAGGAAAGGTGGAGGAAATGACTCCAACTTAGCTTTGAAGGAAACTAGGAATTCTAAAAGATGGAGGTAAAGGGAGAGTGCATTCCAGGCATCATATAAAGGCAGGAGATAGCTGCTGTATGGAGAGAACAACATGAATTTACAGCAACTGACTTCTGAAAGGAGTGTGTGACAATGACCATCCAAGGGTTTTTGATAACTAGGTTTCTTTCCCTGAGAACACAACTCTGATCAGGCTCTTCCTTCTCTCTGTACCCACTAATTATAATAATTATAATAATAATAATAATAATAATAGCTGCTTTCAGAAAGATGCTGGCCTTTGACAGGAGTGCTGTCACCCTCTCTGCTGTCCTCTCCCTCCCCCTCCACTAGAAGCAAGACCACTGTTCCCGGGAGCAAAGTTGGGTAAATCTTACAAGGTTAAGTCAACTGATGTCATGGAAACTATTGTGATCATTAACCTGTGCCCCAGAACTAGCGCAAATTGCTGATCAAAGGGCAGGATGAATCTCACCAGATCCTAAAACTCAAACCTCTGGTGGTTGGAAACATTCAATCCTTTTCAAGGGATGTTTGCATGTGGTTGGACTTTATTTTTCTTTTTTCTTTCTTGGATGAACCATCAAGATCACAGAAGAGTCCTGGTTTAATGGGATCCTAGGCCTAAGAATGATCTCCTGTCCTGGCTCTGCCTTATAATTAGCCTTGACCTTCCCATTAAGTCCCTACATTCAGACATCAGCATGTATTCTTTGACCCATCAGGCCGAGCCCATAAGCTAGATCTGGAGGTGTTCATGGACCCTTCACATGAATCTTCTTGCCCCTAACATGGTAGACAGCTTCCCTAAGGGCATATGAGGTATTCCCTGCTCTGGTTATTTAGGAGACTCCCTTCCAATGCCATGAAATGAATGATATCTAGGTTTATTTACCAATGTACCAAAGGCAATACGAAAGCTCCAATTCATGAACTGTTTTCTCATAAGACCAGGGCATTGCCATGGTCATTAAAATAACAATCTTCTTTTGGACCAGTCTGTGTCTATACAGTATTTACTGTTATATACTATATAAATACTATACAGTGTTTACAGTATTATAGGATGATCTAAGTGGGTTTTCGTTGTTTGGTTTTCTTAACACCTCTGAATTGGAGAGTTATGTAAACCAGCAGATTTACCCCTTGTTTCATGATGGAATGACCCAGTTTGGAATTCAGTGAGGAACTGGAGGACAAATGAATCTATAATTAATTAAATAATTAAGCATATAAGTAATTGAGGTCGGGGATATGGCTTCTTTTGTGATGGCAAAGAACTAGAAACAAAGTAGATGTCCATTGATTTTGGAATTGCTAAACAGATTGTAATTTATGAATGTAAAGGAATATTATGGGTGGCCTTTGTAAGAAATGATGAGCATAATGAGCATGATGAATTTAGAGAAGGCTAGGAAAATTTATATGACTGACCCAGAGGGAAGTAAGCTGAACCAGGAAAACAATATTTACAATGACTGCAGTAATGTCAATGGAAAGCACAAAAGAAAACAAAAGAAACTGTTATGTAATTATAATAACCAAGCTTGGCCCTAGAGAAGAGATGAGAAAATATGCCCCCTTTATTTGTTGCTCGTACTGTCAGTCAGGGCTGATGTTTAGATTTCCTAAATTTCTTTTCTTTTTTTTTTCTTTCTTCAGAACCCTGGCTTCTTAAGGGTGGCAATGGGGAGGATATATTTGGAAATCAAGGTGACATAACAAACAAAAGAATCAATAATTTTTAAAAAGCAATCCACAGATAAGGGGGGGAAAGAGAGAAATTGGCATGGCTTGGCATGATATAAACTCCTCCTTGCCAAGGTCAGAGTTAAGTGGGCAAGGGAGTGGGTGGGAAAGAGTCTTTATTGCCACCTTTGAAGTTGACCTTTGCTTGGTCTCCAGTTGCCCCTAGACCTGATTCTGCTCAGCTTGTTTAAAGCAGCAATTGGAAACAAAAAAAAAAAGCCTTACAAAAAAACTACTGCCTCTGCACGGCTGTCACCATGGAGCTGTCCTTACCTTGGAAGTGCATGTAAGTGGTGAAGAGCAGTGTGGTGTCCAGGCTGATTCCAGTCAGTTGTGTGTTCTTTGGCCATCCTGTGACAGCTTTAATGAACCTGTCGATTTTCTCTCCAGCAAGGTCTGGGTTTGTGGTCAGATCCAGGGAACGGGAATAGGTGATACTGGCAAAGGGAGCCAAGCCCTGCACAAATGACTGCTTCAGATGTAGGTTAGGGGAGGTGAATAGGCCCACCACTGTGGTCAGGAGCAGACTGGAGCTGCCCTTCTTTTCTTGGGCTAAAAGGAGGCCCTGGACAGCCTTCAAGGCAGAGAGGACCTTTTGCCCATCTAGTCGGGAGGTACAGCGCTGGTCTTTTTCAGGCGCACCCATAAATGCCTGGAGTTTAGTGGCTGTGGGGTCCTCAGAACCCAAGTAGAAGGAAGCGAGGGTCCCAAAGAGGCCAACAGGAGACAAGAGAATCGCCCCATTGGCTGGAGTCGCCTTCTCCCTCAGCATCTTATACATGCGGAAACCCACAAGGTTCAGCAGCATCCCCACACTAGTTGACCTCTTCTTGTCCTCTGCATCTAGTGTCTGGGCATAAGATACCAACTGGTCTTTCAGGGCCACCTCATCCAAAGGGGATGTCTTGGCCTGAATTGGGACAGGGGTGAGGGTCTGTTCCTTGGTAGTCTCCGCATCCACTTTCTTCAGCTCATCACACGTACTTTGGTTATAGGTAAGGAGGTAGAAAGGGTGCACGTACACCCGGTCACTGGCCACCAGCGCAGTCCAGCCCAACAGGATGACAATGACTCTCAGTAACATCCTGGAGCAGGTGCTACTAACAGGTACAATTCCTGCTTTTCCTGAAATGACATTTTTGGAAAAGGGTAAAGAAAATTGATTATCATATGTCTATAATAGACCAGGTCCTTTAAGAGTTGCCCAGTGTAGCGTAGTGGAAAGAGTGAGTTAAGAGTCAAAAGAACTGACTTCAAATCCTGGCTGTGCTATTTACTATGTGTGTGGCCTCAGGCAAGCCACTTAATTTCTTGAGGTCTCATTTTCCTCATATGCAAATAAGGGAGCAGGTCTAGATGACCTCTAGATCCCTTCCAGCTCCAAATCCTTGCATCTGTGGATAATTGTCATGTATTACAAGAATGCGGAGAAAAGGAAGTGGGTAACTCAAGGCTGAACCATATGTCAGTGATAGAGCTAAGAGCAGACCTTGGAGAGCTTTGTCACAGAGTAGCCAAGTATCACTCTATCAGATCCATATTTATTGAGTGCTATTATATGTCCAGTATATGGTGGGAGAAGACAAAAACCCGATCTCTGTCTTCAAGGCACTTATAACCCAGAAGGGAGGACACTCACTGAAGGATTGCTTGGAAAAGAAGACATAGCTATAGAGTTCTGTGAAGAGGGGCTAGATCTCATTTCTCAAATCCCACAAATGATGTAAGAACACGTCTATGTTGAGCCTCCCTACACTGCTCCGTGGAATGTAGGTGCTGAAGGGTCACTACAGCAAGGGTGGGCTTTGTAGAATCAAAAAGGACTTTGAGAGATCTTTGCATCCTTCCCATGAATGGATAGAACTATACTGATCCATTCCACGCAGGAGAATATATCTGTCTTGGATTTCCAGAGAGGAATTTCCATCACCTCCACCTAGTAGCTGCTTCTAATAGTAACTAACTGCTTCCTGTGAAGAAACTCTTATGTTGATATTGAGATCTGGAATTAGGAGTGGACAAAGTACGCATAAGGCACAACATTAAATGCCAGGGGGTGGAGATAAGGGCAAGGCAAAAAAGGAGGGAAGGGAGATGGCTAAGAAGTCAGTAAAAAGAACCACACTTTTTTATTTTACTTTTAATAAAAGTGAACATCTTAATGTTCAGAAAATTTCCCTGTCCATTTATTTGGGTATAATATTCATGTGCACTGAGTAGAGTGGTGGCTCAAAGCCTACGGTAGACAGTAACCCAGAGGAGATGGAGCAATTTTCAAACCAAGCTTATGGTATAAAAATGCCTTCTCCCATCTCAGCCTATAACAGCAACAATTCCCATTTACATAGAACTTTTACAAAGCACTTTCCTTTCAACAGCCCTGCACAGTAGGCAGTGCAAGCTTTATTATCCTCATTTTGCACATGAGGAAACAGGATCAGAGAAATTAAGTGACTTGCTTAGGGTCAAACAGCTAGTAAGTATTAAAACATAGGGTATAAGCATTTATATAAAGCCTACTATGTTCCAGGTACTGTGCTAATAATTTTTTTTTTTGCAAATTATCTTATTTGATCTTTATAACTACCATGTGGTTAGTGCTATTGTTATCCCCATTTTATAGTTGAAGAAGCTGAGATAAACAGAGGTTAAGTGATTTGTGCAAGATCACAGAACTAATAAGTGTCTGAGGTCAGATTTGAACTCAGGTCTTCCTGACCCCAGGCCCATTGGTCATGGGATCCCAGGATCCTTATTCAGAGCTGGAAAGAACCTCAGATGTCATCTAGTTCAACCCTCTCAATTTATGAACTAGGAAAGGGAGACCCAGGATAGTTAAGTGACTTGTCCAAGGTCATGCAACAGAGGCAGATAAATATCAGAGGCAGGATTTGAACCAAGGTCCTCTGACTCCAAAAGTAACACTCTTTCTGCTCCAAGTCCAGTTCTCTTTGCAGTGCACAATGCTGATCAAAAACTCATCTCCCCTTACTCTGCCCTGAGGGAGGCAACAGCTGCCCATCATTTAAAAAAAACCCACCATACTATAAAATTGTGTGGACTTCTTCAGTATCATGTATGATTTCAATATGCTTAAATTCTTAACTACAGCCTTTAATTTTAACTACATCATTGTTGAACATCATTTTGTGGTCCATGGTGATCCTTAGATTTTTTTTCTACTACCCTTGCACATGGCCAGTGATTCCTATCTTGTATTTAACTAGTTGTATGTCCTGTATTTACTTTTCCTTCATCTTGCCTACCACAGGGCTGGGACGTAATCTAAAGCCTGAAGATTTTTCTTCACCATCCGCCAACCTCTACCCCAGCTTATACGTTCTGATTTTATCTAAAATTTTTTTCTTTCTTCTTTTTTTTTTTTTGGTGAGGCAATGGGGTCAAGTGACTTGCCCAGGGTCACACAGCTAATACTTGTCAAGTATCTGAGGCTGGATTTGAACTCAGGTCCTCCTGACTCCAGGGCCAGTGCTCTATCCACTGTGCCACTTAGCTGCCCCCTTTACCTACAATTTTTACCAAACATAAATGATTGGGGAGGCCTAACTGGAGAAGCAGTCTGGCTTAGTGGATAGATTGGTCATGAAGTGAAGAACTGCCTCTGATAGACACCATCTGACACTCAGCAAATCACTTACACTCTCTCTGCCCAGGATAATATCCTAAATTTGCATTAAAGAACCACATCATTAGAAGGTGTTTCCACACCAGAAGTTCCCTGCACCATGAAATTACAGATTTAGATTCAAAACAAACAAACAAACAAACAAACATAATGAAGGAAAATAAGAAATATCCTCTGAACCACTCCAGGCAAAGCCTAATTTGCCAAATGATTTCTCATCTAAATGAGTCAGCAGTAAAACCTTTGGGAATCAATTGCTCCGTGAGCTCTCTGCAGTTATGGATGCGTAGGCAGGGCCTGGGTCTGCTTAATCCAGATAAGACAGAGATGTACCCCCTCCTCCCCATCTCAGCCCAGGCTCCCCTTCTGCAGTTTATGGCAGCCCTCTCAGACTAAGCAATTTCACGGATCATTTTTGAGCTAGAGATTGTCTTTCCCCTTCAATTGTAGTCTTGAGCTTTGCTTGCCTTCCCCCAACTCTCACCCCATCCCCAACAAGCCTATGTTTCTAGGTAGGAGGCAGCTGGTGTTTTGAAAATGAAAGATGGTTCCATCTGTTGCAGATTCACAGTCCTTCCCTCTTCCCCCTTCTCTTCTTTCCCATTTGGCTCTTTTCCCCTCCTTTTTAACCTTTCTTTCTTCAGCTGCCCCTCTCTCTCTTTCACTTTCTGCTACTTGAGCCTCCAAGGCCTTGCAGCCAGGACAAAGAAAGCACAGGTTGTAGGCAAATGGGCTTCAAAATACTCTGGAGGGAGCTTATGGAAGAAAAAGGAGGGTGCCAAGCCATGTCTGCCCTGCCCATGTTGACGACTTTCGCTCCCTCCATTATACAGAGCTCAGTGTCACCTTCAGTCCCCTGGGAGATAGGAGCTCTTTTGTCCTTTCTCCAAAAGGCTCATACACTAGGGGGGTTGAGGATCTGGCCAGATCTCCTCATCTCCTTCTCACATGCCCACGCTGTTGCCTCCCATCAGTCATTACGCTGACTGCCTTCTCCTCTTTGATTTGAGGCATCCTGGCTGCATGACACAAGCCTGCCTCTTTCTCTCCATCTTGAGTCTTGGGTCCAGAAGTAAAGAGGACAGGTTTATTATGGAGTCATTATGGTCTCATTCTTGTGATTTTATGAGGGAGTAGGAACTCTTTGTAAAACAAAACAAAAAATAGGAAAAAAAATCCCAAATCCTCTTTTGGGGGTGGAGTGGGAAAACTGCAGGCAAAGGGAATTAATGAGATGTTGGATAATTTCTTTCTGTTGCCTCAGCCTCCTGCTGGCAAAAGTTCCCTCCAAAGCAGCTTGTTGCTGGTTCATTGTGTTCCCAATTTGATTTTTCCCAGACAAGCTGCCCTCCATTCAAAGTTATTGTTATTTTCCAGCTCTGTACCCATCTCTCTTAATCTTTCTGGCCCCAGCCTGCTGCCAAGATCACCTACAGAGAGCTGAAGGGGAAAAAAGAGGGAAGGGTCCCCAGCCACTCCAGGCTTACCTTTTATTTCAGTCCTCAGAGACTCAGGCTGCCTCTTCCACCAAAGGCCCTAGGATACCTTTCTCCAGCCTGGGGGTACTGCAGCTCTATTTATACTGGAGGACAGGGGATAGAAGCCATTCCCAAGTTTCCCTGTGTTCTGGCTGGCAGGTGGGATGACATCACTCAGGCCAAACATGCGGATGCAAGTGTCTTTTATCAGAGAATCTTCCAAATCAATGCACACTTACCCCAGTGAACACTGTGGCTTGGTACAGGCTCAAGTTACATATTTACTCAAGTAGACTGGAACCAGGGCCCCAGTCACTTACTGACACATGAAGTGTCTGTGCATGTATATGTGACTGAAAGCAGCTCTCCTGTGTGACCCCTTTCCCAGCCTCCCCTGGCAATGTTTTTGAGAAGTTCATACTGCAGGGGTAAAAGTGTATCGGTTCACAAGGGCAGTGGTCTGAGTGGGGGAAAGCCCTGAAATGAGAGTCAGGATCCTGGGATTTGACTCCCCATATATAGATTTAAGAGCAAAAAAGAACCTTAAAGGCACTGAAGTCCAACCTCCACATCTTACAGGCAAGGAAATCGTTGAGAGTCATGCAGCTAGTAAGTGTCTGAGGTGAGATCTGAACTCAGGTCTTCCTGAATCTAGGTCCAGGGCTTTATCCACTGAACCATTCTGCATTAACCAACCTTAGGTGAGTTATTTCAACTGTCTAGGATTCATATTTCTTTATCTGTAAAATGAGGAAATTGAACTAAATAATAGCTAACCTTTATTTGTGCTAAGTACTTTATAATTATCCCATTTGAGCTTCACAACCATCCTGGGAAGTAGGAGCTCTTATTATCCCCATTGTACAGATGAGGAAACTGAGGCAAACAGAGGTTGAACTACTTGCCCAGGGTCACACAGCTATTAAGTGTCTGAGGCCAGATTTGAACTCAGGTCTTCCTGACTCCAGGCCATATACTCTATATACTGTACCACCTAGCTGCCCTATAAAGTCCTTTCCCATGCTAAAATCGTATGACTTTGTGTCTGAGAGAAGGGCAAGCCATAATGAAAATGCAGTCATAGCTAAAAGAAAGAAGCAACTTCTCATGTGGAGGGCCCTTAGGCTGGTCATCTAGGTGGTGCAGATCCTGGAGTCAGAAAGAACTGAGTTCAAATCTGGCTTCAGACACCTACTAGTTGTATCACCCCATGCAGGTTACTTAACCCTGTTTGCCTCAGTTTCCTCATCTGTAAAATGAGCTGGAGAAAGAAATGTCAAAGCACTCCAATGTCTTTGCCAAGAAAACCCCAAGTGGAGTCACAAGAAGTCAGACATGACTGAAATGACTCAACAACAAGAATAGACTATGAGACTGTGCTCACACAGTCATCTCCAAACCATGCAGCCTGCACTCTGGTTCTCCTTCTCTTCTCTCCAGAACTCACATTCCCACCCCTGGAACTCTGGGCTCTGACAGGTAGCTTTTCACCTTGTTCCGGGAGCTAGGCTGTCACAGCACTCCTTGGCTGCTTCAACTACATGAGTACCTTCAGCCCACCCCCATGTCCCATTTTTCAACTGTAGCTCCCCTTTATGTAAGGGTGTGCTGGAGCCAGCTCACTACTGCTAAATTTTCAGCGTAGGCATTTATAGAGCAGAAATCAGCAAAGACTAAAAATCAGGGCTTGGTGTATTATTTTGTTGATTGTCTAGACTTAAGAAATTGTTGGAGAAAATGTTAATAATGCAGATTAAACTTAATAGAGTATTGTGTATGTTACTCATATTTATGTACCCAACAGTTTGCACAGTTCCTGGCACATATTAAACTTTAATAAATGCCTTTTCATTCATTCATTCATTCAGTCAGTCAGTCAATCAGTCATATCCTTAGGAAAACTTGTATGAAACAATGCAGACAAAAGTATGCAAAACTAGAGAAGAAATGTATGCACTGATCAACATAATTCAAGTGAAAACTGCATTAAAAGGCAATTGAATTCATATTAATTTCAATAACCAATCTTTGTCCCTAAGAAGAGGTAATGAAAAATATTTACTTCCTCTCATTAGAGAGATGGACAACTGTAGGTGAGAAATGCTACATATGCTGTCAGTCAATGGTTTTTATTTAACAATATCTCGATGACAAAGGAGGGTTCAGTGTGAAGGGTAGGGATTATATCAGTAAATAACGTCATTTTTTTAAATAAAAAGCATTAGTAATTTTTTGAAGCTGTGTCCTCTACTTACTCTCCAATAATCTCAGTTCCTCTGAACAAACATTTCTGATCTTAAATAACATCCTACTGATGATTTCCTATTTTTAAAGATCAAATTACTATCCAAGAAATCATTCATTTTGATCAAGTTGAATTTATGCTAAGAATGCAAGGATTGTTGATTCTGCATTAGGAAAACAATCAACATAATTACTCATATAAAAACAAAAACATCCAAAACCATATGATTATTACAGATGCACAAAAAAAGCCTTTGACAAAATACAATACTCATTTATGCTAAAAGCCCTACAAAGTATAGGTATAGAGGAACCATTTTTAAAATATCTTAAAAAGTATCTTTCTTAAACTAAAAGTGAGCATCATAAGCAAATGGGAAACACTGGAACCTTTTCCAACAAATATGGGAGCAAAGCAAGGATGCCCACTCTCAAACTATTATTTGATATAATTCTGGAAATGTTAGCAATAGCAATAAGACAGGAAAAATAAATTAAAGGCATAAAGATAATTATTTGCTTGTGATATGATGGTATGCTTGGAGAATTCTAGGGAATCAACAAAAATACATTGAGACAAATTCAGCAAAGCAGCAGATTACAAAATAAGCCCTCAAAAATCAACTGCATTTCTATACAATAATAACAAAATTCAAAAGGCAATAGCAGAAAGGGAAATTCTATTCCAAATAATTACAAAATAATCAATCTGCCAAAGCACACAAAAGAATAACAAATAGCTGTAGGAGTATTCAGTGTTCATTGCTGGGTCCTGCCAATATAATAAAAATGACAATGCTGCCAAAGTTAATTTATGCTTTCAATACTATGCTAATAAATCTATCAGAGGAATACTTTATAAAATTTGATAAAATAGTAGCAACATTAATTTGGAGAAATGAAAGAACAGAGCAGGTCAAACCTACAGCCCATAGAACTCGTTTGTGGGCTTGAACCAATTTAAAATGTAATTAGAAAACATTTAACAAAAATAATTTGAAGTTTTCTAAGTCAATATATGAACCAACAGGGATCTATTTCTATTTGAGTTTGACACTACTGATGTAGAATATCAAGTGAGATGATGAAAAGAAATTGGGAACAAAAAGGAAATAGCATTTTCAGGTCTTAAACTATATTATAAAGCAGCAGTCACTAAAAAATAAATGTAGACCAATGGAACGGACTATGGAGAATCAGAAACAATGGAACTCAATAACTCAGTGTTAGTGGAGATGTGGATTGATGAAACCATTTTGAGAAACAATTTTCAATTATGCAAATAAAGTGACTAAAATGTCCTTTCTCTTTGACCTAGAGATTCCGTTGATGGGTCTATAATCCAAGGAAGCTATTGGTAAAAAGAAAGTTCCCATATACACTAAAACATGTATAGTACACTTTTTATAATAACAAAGAATTGGAAACAAAGTAGATGCCCACTGATTAGAGGATGACTAAACAAATTGTGGTACATTAATGTCATGGAACATTAGTGTGCTGTAAGAAATGATAAATGTGATGAAAACAGAGAAGTATGGAAAGATCTACATGAACTAATGAAGAGTATAGAGAGCTAAGAAAACAACATACACAATGACTATAACAATGTAAATGGAAAGAGCAACCAAACGTAAACACAAAACCAAAGGTGAATGTTGCAAAATTATGAAGAGCAAGCATGACTCAAAGAAAGAGAGCTAAAAAGACTCTTAACCTGCCCCTTTGGGGAGATGAGAGATCCACAGAGGTTGCATATAGTACGTGTTTTTGGATTTTTTCAACATATTGATTGGTTGTGCTGTTTTTTCCTTCTTTTTCCTTTGTCTTTAGAAAATATTTATTATATGAGATGACTGTCTGGGAGGATGCGGCAGAGGGATACTGGGGAGAACTAAGATGACATACAAAAAACAAAAAAACCCTTATTTTTAAAAAGTCAAATCAAATTGCATTGTTTTACAGAGAAACACTCCATTAATATTACATTTAATGGCAAGACAATGAAGCATTTTCTTAAAATGTACAGAAGTGAAAGAAAGGATGTTCAGAAAGGTATACAGAGGAGCAGGTCAATTTTATTACTATCATGTCAAAATGTAAAATGTACGTTTAAAAAACTGGATGCAGCATATGTATAGCTTTATAGATAATCCTTTTATTTTCTTTGCATTTTGAAAAATTCATGTTGGCTAATATTTAAGGTCATAATTAAAAAGAAAAAAAGGGGAGGAATCCTTTAATAGGAAAAAAGTTGTTTGTGTGCCCTGAGCAAAGTTTAAAAAGTGAGGTTCTCTTGTATTATTGTCCGCTGGAGACTTTGAGCTTTTACTATGTAAGGTCCTGACCCTTTGTTATGTGGACATTTTGGTCAGAGAAAAGGACAGAAAAAGAACATTTCATGTAAAACACAAAATCAGCCTGAGAAGAAACACAGCCCATCACATAAAAGGTGTTTAGGGAGAGACATAGACCATATTGAGAGGACCAGAGAGAGAACATTCTTTCTAAGAGGCAAAAACCCTTATTAGAAGCAAAGATGACTGCAGTGCATTGTGATCTAGTAGCTAATATTCGTATTACTATATTAAAACTTTAGAAGTGATTAGCTGGGAAATATTAATTCTGATCCTGAGCTATGTTCAGAAGGCATAAATACCAAAGCTACTTGTTCAGTTGTGCCTGACTCTCTGTGACCCCATTTTAGGGTTTTCTTGGCAAAGATACTAGAGTGGTTTGCCATTTCCTTCTCCAGGTCATTTTATGGATTGAAGCAAAGAGAGTTAAGTGATTTGCCTAGGGTCACACAGCTAGTAAGTGTCAGGCCAGATTTGAACTCAGAAAGAAGAGTCTTCCTGTTTCCCCAGGCCCGTGC